GCTAGCGCCACTTCAGTAATTCTTGCGACCAAACTCAAAATCGCGTTTGAAATGCCGTCTTTGGGGTTCGGTTCTGCGAGATTAGTCAAAAGATAGCTTCAGTAATTATAGTGAAACGCAAATCTTTTTTATTTTTAAATACAGATCATGAATTTAGTTTTGGTTGATGATTTGAAGAATTAACAAACTTTATTTGATTTACATAGGAATTTTCGCATCGACCTGACATCTGGAAGCATTTGAGTTTGTTTGTTAGCTAATATTTTGGTGAATTTAACCTTCTTCCATGGTTTTTATAGCGTCTCTATGAGTTTAGAAAGAAACACTTATTTCAGACTTCATAAAAGACATAAAACTTTTTCTACTCGCTGATTACCTTAAAATAGGCTAAGGAACACCTTCTCAAAAAATCGCCATCAAAAATGTGCAAAAAGGTCAAAAATGGGCTTAGTCCCAGCTCACCTTGCTGCTGGGAGCAAAATGGGCTTTTAAGTCCATTTAAAATGGAGGTAAATCCCATTTTGCCCCATTCTAAATGGACTTTTGACGTCATCATTTCGCAAGCGAGAGTTCAGGTAGGGTTGAATCATTTTCATTTCACCGCTTTGCCTCGTGGTTGCGATGGGATGAATATTTTTGGATAACGCGAGTGAAAGCAGATTCCGACCACTCTTCACCGCGAACGAATAAAATGGGGTTTGAAAGTCTATTTTCCTCCATTATGGACTTTCGTGGATATCATTCCAGGGCTCGCTCATTTACTTTCTTTATAGGGGCGGGGTAGGGTTTTTTCGAAGTACATGCTATCAAGAGTGGATTTCATCAGACTGACAATTAGAGTTAGCTTTAAACTACGGCATACTATGGCATGGAACTCGAATAAAGCCAAAGCAGTGAACAACCTGGTACAAAACGCCCTAGTGATGGAAGAAAGGAAGGGAAACGTGGCCATGAATCTCTACAGAAACCAACTCAGAGTGCTTAGAGAGCAGGGCTCGGTACGAGCTGGCACCAGGGAAATTTCAAAACGAAGTCGCGTTTGATCTTGAAAATTTCGTACGAAGTCCCCTTTGACTTGTTCTGCAGACACGTCATTATTTTTAGATTGTGTAAAAGTGTGTAGTAGGTTTTTGTACATGCTGATTTCATGGAACAACTTTTCACAGCTTCCCGAGCTTTTTAAATGGTTGAATCACATCTTGAGAAGCAGAAAAGCCGATTTTTCGACTGCGGAGAAGAACGAGTAATTTTCAGATGGTGATAAAACGCTGAAAAAACCATTATGAAATTGTTTCTTCTTTGTATGTAAAACTTTTACAGTGTAGATACATTTTATGTAAAAAAATGAAAACTTATGTGAGCAAAGTGTCGGTGCCAGCTCAGCTGGCACCCAGCTGGCACGGTTCCAGCTAATTCAGAAAAAAGTTCAGCACAGCTTTCATTCACATAAATTTTCATAAATTTTTGGGCCATACTTCGGGTCTCCCAACGCGCATGCACACACCAAATTTGGTGTCATACCATTGCGTTTTGGCTAAAAATAGCGCTTTTTTTTTGATGGAAGCATGCCGGTGGCATGCCGGCGGCATTCTTGCGGCTCTTCTTCGCCCCGGACCCCAGAAAAATGACATATGCTTTTTTTTCGCCCTAAGAACGATATCCAGCTTGACCCGGTGCCAGCTGTGCCAAGCTCTGTGATAGAGTGGTGAGAGTTTGAAGAAGTAATCAAATTGACTAGGATCCTTGGGAGCTTTTGAAGTACTCGTACCTATAGTTACAAATGGCTGCGAAGAGCGCGTCACATGATCCAATGCAAACTTGACCGGCGCGCAGGACGTTTGGTGTCGGAGCGCGCAATTCAGGCACAGATGTCTATTATTTGAGCTGCATAGGCTAACCAGTGAGGATCTTGATCGATGACAGCTTATCAATGTCATGGAACGAGCTGGTGAGGATGTCGTTGAACCAGTGGCAACAAGTTGACGATGAACTAGCTAGAGATTGTACATGATTGCCCTTTTTCTACGAAATTTTTGCTTGAACTTTCTTGTACAACCTTTTTGATAGCAAGATTGGGCAGCACGACTCCGTTTCTTGATGCTAAGGGTTGAAGCCCTGTATAGGCCCGTAGTTTCTGCGTTTGCTTGAGTTTCAAAGAGTTGTTTCTTTTGTTTCAATCTGGTTACCTTGTTGCGTACTCACGATGAACAAATTCAGGATCTACTCCTTTCATATAGTAAATGGAAAGTATCTGCAAATTCTGAGGAAATCTATAACAACCATGAAAGGTGGACTGTTTGTTCAACAAGTCAGGCTTCTTTTCATCTGTCACAAAAATGAAGGTCAGAGACACCGAGTCTTTTTTGGTCATAACATCATGGAAAGCAGTTTTATCTTCAGTGCGTCGCAATAGCTAACTTTTGATTCAACTCTGTGTCTTAGATAAGGCCGCTCGCGCCTGCGACGCACCTGCGTCTCTCTCGCGCGAGTGCTCTCTGACCATTACCTAGCTTTAATTAGGTAACGAAGCTCCGCCTTTCCGAAGCCAAGCCAGTTGAACCAAATGGTACCTAAGGGAACGGCCATAGGTTGCCAGCAACGGTTGTCGCTGTTGCCGGTGTTGTCGGGGTCAAAGACAGTTTAGAGAGCGCACGAAACGCGGAGGATATCAAGAGGTCCTACAACGACCGGCAACCTCAGCAACCCCGACAACACTGACTACACCGACAACACCGACAACGGTTGTCGGTGTTGTGAAGGTGAAGCAAGAGGTATCTGAACCACATATTTCTCACAGGCCGTAGCTGTACTTAAGCTTTTGTACACTTATCCATCTGTGAGACAATGAACGAGGACTAAGTATCGTCAATTCGTTGGCCGTACGGACTGCTCAAACGCTACGGACCACGCGCGGCGCGGTTAAAATGTTGCGAGAGCACGATTTTAACAATGGCGAGTTTGTATCGGAGCAAGCGTTTTACCTCGCGGCGCGTGCTCCGCGGTTATGTCCAGTCCGTACAGTCAACGAATGGACGATAGCGAAAGTCGAGTGACAATGTAAACTGGAAAGCGTGATAGCGGCCTACCTGAGTCGGAGGTACCTAAGCCTATCTAAGCTGCCGAAATTGACGTACACAGTGATTTCCACGAACAGTTAAGCTATTTGAAGTCCATCTGAACTTAAAATGCTCATCCGCAAGCTACTACCTATTTTGGGAATAGAAAACTCGTAAACGCTTTGTATCTACAAGTTGTAAACATGCTCGAATTGGTTTTATCCAAGTGGTCTATCATCAAAATGAGATATGTCAAAATGTTTTTCAAATCGAAGCGTTTTTGAGTTCCTAGTCTTTGAATGAATGACACTTACCTCATGGCAGTTGGATCTGCAGCTTTCTTCTTCTTATGGCTGTTGTATAAGAAACATGTTCATTGGAAAGCCCCCTTTGTTTAGCACAAACAAATCATTACTTTCTTGTCCGCGCTAAGTTCTTGCGGCACCATATTAATGAGAAATAATCTAGATGGCAAGAGATGGAAGGTAAGATCATTGCACGTCACAACTGCACTTGTTTCTGTGATTCTCCTGCAGAAAGGAGTTGTTTCTCCTTCAGTGGCCCTTGCTTCGCGCTGAAAGTTATAGGGTGCGCGCGCTTAATCGCCAGGGTTCCCGCGCGGAACAGATTTGCACTGGGACATGGGACGCGCTCTTCGCAGCCATTTGTAGTCTACTACCCTAATTTCACGCGTACAAGGCGCAAGGGATTTTTTCCGAAATTGACTAGCACAAATACGCCAAAGAACTTTGCAACCAAAGGACCCTATGCCGTGCTGTATATTGCTTGAGAGAATCGTACGGTGTTCGGCCATTTGCTACGTATTGTGGCCGAACCGACCTATACATTAATCATCCCGCAGTAAAGCGGGCGGGTTCGGGGGTCAACGGGGCTCTTCTGTTGTAAGCTTCCTCAGTGTCACAATAAACGTTCATAGCGACGTGTTGTGTTATCTCCCAGTTATAAGTTGCCCTATAGTGGCACAATTCTGGTGCATCGGCCAAATTTCTGAGCCACTATCTAGCCCTGCGGTAAGCAGCGCATTAATAGTTTTACCTTTTGTGGAATTGAACTACGACAACGTCTTGTGCAATGTCGATTTCTTATCATAAAAAACCATTGCTCGCGGCGTACAATCCCTTCAAGGATTTGTGGAAAAATTCACAATATATACGAAGGAGTTCCAACTAAACGCTTCATTTGAGGACAACTATGAAGCGTGCCGTGAAGCAATTAGCCAAATAAAGGGTGCCATAAATGCCACTCAAATCAGCAAGGACTCGGTGCAGTTATTAATAGACCAACTGCTGCGAGATTACGAAGAGGCCCGCAAGACTAATAAAATAGAAGCGAACAAAGATCTGGAAGAGGTAGAAATCCAGACAAACTTTACCGAATGGATGGCCAGAGCCACCGAGTTGGTGTGTGTGTTAACCACAAGACTTTCAGAAGCGCACAATTACGCCGAAAAAATGGCGAGAAAGCTGGGAATAACCAGCAATTTATCCCAGACCGAAACTTTATCGGATCCTGGAAGACCTACACAGAGTAAAACTACTGATGAGGTAGTTAACCCAACGGAAGCTGCCTGGCTTACAGAGGACAGTTCTGATGGTAGCAAAATGTCGACAGATGGCAACGAAATGGCCAGTCAAAGTTTGAAGCTCCACCAAATGAAGCTACCGCGCTTTTATGGAGACGAAGAAGAATTTCCCGAATTTTGGGGTATATTTACCATATTAGTGGATCAAAACAAAAGTTTGAGCACAGTAGAAAAAATATTCTTTCCCAAAGACAGCCTTAGAGGAAGGGCTGAGTTAACTGTGAAAGGAATACAACTAATTCCACAGAATTATACGTGGATGACTGAAGAACTCAAAAGAAAATACGGTAATAAACCGATAAATCGCACAAGAATCGTGCAAAAATTAGAGGATATGCTACCTGCAAATGGCTCCGCGGAGAGTTGCATGGATAGATACGATAAAATACGTGTCCTCATCAATCAAATTGTATCTGCCGGCCAAGACATCCGGCAAAGTAGCGATGCCCTGTGGACGGAAAAAATTATAGAAAAATTTCCACAAAATATTGTGAGAAGTGTTCTCAGAGCCGTTCAGCAAAAAGGAACGGTCACAATAGAGAATTTAATGAAGGAATTCGATAAGGAAATCTCGGCAAAAATGTTTGTAGATTCCAGATTGAGAAACCGTGGAAGAGAACCACCAAAACCTCAGGATTTTCACCATAAAGAAGATACCAGAAGCAAAGTACGACAATGTATATTTTGCAGCAGAGATCATTTAGGCACGGTATGCAAAGCAACTGATGCACACGCAAAGAGAAAAGTGGTTATAGCAAAAAAACTTTGCTGGAAATGTCTGGCAGACAATCACAATAGCTTCCAGTGCTCCTGGGCAAACTGCTCAGTCTGCAACCAAGCACACAATACTAGTTTATGTATCAGAACTAGAAATAACAATGGGCCGTATAACCCGGCTAACAACAATCAGCATCAAAACAGGCGTACGCCTGCACAATCGAGATTTGCGAACAATTCATTGCGCAATAGGCCAAATGAGCCACGGTGGGGACCTAACCAAGCTAATATTCACACCACCGACGTACTACAAAATGAGGAAACGCCGCCAAAACTCGAAAATTCACGAACAAAAGAACAAATTGTGCTCATGACGGCAGAAGGCAATATTTGGAATTACAATACTTGCCAATATGAAAAAGTCTTATTCTTTTTCGATACAGGAGCACAAAAAACGCTCATTCAAGAGCAGATCGCTGCAAAACTTGGACTACCGCGTAAAGGTGCAGAATTGTGTACTATGTCGGGAATCGGCGGACACATTGAGAAATTTCAAAGCAATAACGTCCAAATCAAGGTTCTGTCAGCATTTGGCGACGAAATGAATTTTGAAATTCAAACAAAACCAATTATAACCAACGGTTTTCCGTTTGTTAAGTTAACAGCTGACGATAAAAAGTTCTTGCAACATAAGGAAATCTATTTATGCAATCCAAGAGTTCAAGGGGAAATCCAGAATCCACATATATTAGTCGGATTAGATTACTACTACAGTTTTATGCTTGCTACGCAAAACACTTCGATCCTACCGTCGGGATTACACATTGCGAGGACCATTTTCGGCCCCGCAATTCACGGGCGAGGAACTGAACCCAACTCAAAAGTTGCCAAATCTCCAATAATGTATGGATTAACGCTCGTAAACGAAAAATCTGAGGCGGTTATCGTACAAAACATGTTTGAACTTGACGGTTTAGGCATATTTGCTGATGACGCCAAACAAGATGAGGTTACTTACAGTTACTTCCGAGAGTATTCAAAATCGATATCTTACGATAACGGCTACGCTACAGCTCCGTTCCCTCTGCGAGACAACATCGCTGACCTCGCGGATAACTACCCCGTCGCTCAGCGTCGGCTCGTTTCTTTATGGCACCAGTTGCGCAAACATAACGAACAAAACAACTGGTATTGCAAAATTATGGCAGATTACCTCAAAAACGATATTATCGAAGAAGTACCAGAATTATCAGAGAAAAATTGTGGTGTTTACTATATGCCACATTCAGGAGTATGGAAACCTCAAAAACCAAAACCGTTGCGAATTGTGTTTGATGCATCATCAAAGCAAAAAGGGCAAATCTCACTTAACGAGGTTATTGCAACAGGAGAGTCGTTCACAAACAAAATTCACGACATTTTAATCGCTAGTCGCTTCCCAAAAATTATCGTTTTGTGCGATATTTAAGCAGCATTTACGCAAATCAGACTACCAAATGCCCACAAAGATCTATGTAGATTTTTATGGCTCAAAAATACCACTGAACCACCTGTAAAAACCAACATCATACAGTATAGATTCAAAAGGTTGCCTTTTGGTATCATCGCATCACCTAGCATTTTAAATATGGTGCTTATGAAGTTTCTCGATGCAAAAGACACAGATTTATCGAAAGAAATTGCAAAAAATCTGTACGTCGACAACATTATGCTTCAAGCCGAAAATGTGGAAGAAGCAATTTCAAAATGCAAACTTGCTAAAGAAATGTTTGCAGAAATTGGGCTAAATCTGCGAGAATTCATCTCTAATTCCGTAGAAGTCAACAATGCCATACCCGAAAAAGACAAATTAGCGGGTAAAAAGATCAAATTTCTTGGTGTAGAATTTGATATTGAAACAGATCAATTTTCTGTCAATACGAAATTTTCATCGTTAAAAAAATTACGCAAAAGGGACATAGTAAGCCAGCTAAATTCAGTCTATGATCCTATTGGATTAGCAGCTCCGCTGCTAATCAAACTTAAGTCTCTTATGCGAGAGATTTACACTCTAAATATTGACTGGAAAGATACGGTACCAGAAGAATTGCGCAAAAAATGGCAATTAGCATGCCAAGAAATGAACAGTGCATCGATTACCGTTGTTCGGCCATTTGCTACGTATTGTGGCCGAACCGACCTATACATTAATCATCCCGCAGAAGCGGGCGGGTTCGGGGGTCAACGGGGCTCTTCTGTTGTAAGCTTCCTTAGTGTCACAATAAACGTTCATAGCGACGTGTTGTGTTATCTCCCAGTTATAAGTTGCCCTATAGTGGCACATACGGCATAGGGATTGCTTTCCGAAATACTTTGGAGCGGCTGAGGGGTTTGATTGAAAAATCGAAAAAGGTGCGCCTTGTACGCGTGAAATTAGTTCACTAGGAACCAGTAATCTGAAGGTGCTATTTGCAAGAGCGTTCGCTTCGGGACCGCCACGCGGTTTCCTGCTATTTGCAGATTTTTGAATTGCGCTTACGTTTCTTTATAGCCACTAGTGAATCAGTAATCTAAAGGTGCTATTCAGAACTGCGTCCGCTTCGGGACCAGCTCTCAGTTTCCCGCCATATGCACATTTTTGAATTGAGCTAACGATTCTTTATATATTAGATTTGTAATTAACTATATGTAGGTACGAGTCTTTTGCAGTTAGCTTACAGATATTGATTGAAGAGTAACTTGTACGTTTGGAGCATGAGTTCACTCCAGTAGCGTGAGTATGTATATACAGGCCCCATAAAATACAATTGCCCACGCGTCGCTTTGAACACCAATACGCGGCGCGGCTGGAAACGTTTGGTTCCGAAGCGCTACAGGCTTTTTGCGAACGACGATGAGCGCGCACCCTTTCCACACATATTTTTTTAAGCTTTTGAAGGGAGCTTTCGTCAAAATTTACCTTGCATTGACGAGAACAGCACGAGAGTTAAAGAAAGATTTCTTGAGACATAGTGAACGCCGACAGTCGTTCGCGACGACCGCTCGCTTACGCTACTCAGACAGTTGGAGCGTGCAGCGCGCACGCAGTCACACGGTGGCGCAACACCCAGTGCGCGGATGGCGGGACATTGGATGCCCCGCCGCTGGTGCTGGCCCGCGGATGGCTGCATTTTTTCAGTTTTTCGTTGCGCTGTATACCACAGGTCTTGATAATGAATTCCACTCTTCATACGCCAAAATATACGAATTCGTATTTGAATCCAAGAATTCAGATCCAGCATCCATTTGCAATGCTACCAAAGGCTAACGCTTGGAAGCAAAAAACAACTTCCACTTCTGCGACCATTCATACACTACGATGTAATATCTAACCTCTTGAATGATGAGGCAGCCTGACCACTGCGTCGTACACTGCGCGGGTACCCCTTGTGCTTACAGCATGTGATAATTGCAGGCGCGCGGGCCGCACGGGTAGAGTATAAAGGCACGCGCGCGGCGTGCCACAAAATTAGGCGCGCGGGTAGCGAGATTGAACATAAACGTAGCGCGCGGGTCGCGGTGTTAGCCATTAATACGCGCGCCGCACGCACCAAATGTCTAGGATGGCGCGCGTTTGGCGTAGTGCCGGACACGCCCACAAATAAGGCACGCGCTTTGCCGCATTGACCATAAACGCACGTGCGCCGCACGCTCCAACTGTCTGAGTAGTGGGCGCCATCTATTCCTACCGGGCTGGCTGCGCGAGCGGTTCGCGTGCGGGCTGAGATTGGCGCAAGGGCGCGCATTTCATCTTGTTTTTACTGTTAGTTGCTTTCCATGGCATCGAACTGGCTCTTGAGGAAGGATTTTCGCGTTCGTTTTCACTCATGAAGGAGTAACTGATGAAGGCATTAAATTTATTTTGCGCTAATGTACGCTAGTTGGCTTAGCTCTATGACCACATGGTATTGAACTAGTCCAAGACCCAATTGTAACTAAACAGCTTGTTCGTTTTCTGAATGGGAAAAGTAGTGGTTTGAACATCCTGTCCTATCTTTATCTGAACTTCGTAAGTGTAAACTGACCACCTCTCCCTAACTTGTGTCTGCGATGACCTGAGGAGTTTCAATATCATATACGATTTCATCGTGACAAGATTGATAGGAGGAAATGAGGAGCAGTCTATGAAGCTCTCACTACTTCAATTTCCCAACGGCCGCCCAATCAAATGTCGGGCAAAGTTTGGGTGACATGACACCAAAGCACCATAATCCGTCTACAGAGTGGCCAATAAAGATTTGCGCTGCTTGAACGCTTGGTCGTAAGGCATTCTTTTGACTGCATCCGTAGTATGCATGCCAACATTCGTACATCTTTGGCGTTCTCCTCTTGCTAAGATCGTTGAATTTAACGAATGTATAAAGCAATGAGAATCCTCATAGACCGCTATTTGATCCTATGAGCGTGCTGACATTTCCAACGCTGTCTAATGTTAGACAGTTGGAACAAGTAGTTTACTGGAGTATTCTAAATGTGCTAACACGCTGCAAAAATGCTTAGTCAACATCGAACATCTCACACACAATAAATCTCTTCAGCAAGTTACTTTTGATGTAAAGATACTACACTCCTTTTGATCTGAAATCACAACGAGTGAATGTTCGCATACCCTCATCGCAACATAGATATACTTGAAGCTAGATACAGATATTGTTGCTGTAGAAACTTGACGAACATTTCCAGCTTCAAAACTTGGCTAGTGTTATCACCATACGCGTGAACATTGAATGCTGATGTTCTGATGTAAATTATTGATGTTTTGCATCTACTGCGATTAACGATAATAGCTAATTTCAGCATTTCTGCAGCAGTTTGAGTTTTGATATCAGAGACAGAGATACAAGAAAGCATTGCATGAGTTCGCGACGAATTCTACTTATGTAAGCTATGAGACCAGTCTTAGGCTTTGTAAAGAGGAAAACATTCAAACTGCGAGTTCTCAAAATGGTATGAACGAATGGTACAAGACTTGACAAGCTCATGTGATGGTTAAAGAGAAAAGATTTTCCATAACAAATCCAATAAAAGCAAAAAAAGAAGACATTGCTGACATACTACACAGTTTTACAATCAGTCATAGCATCCAATGGCGAATAAGTAGCTTAAATATTCATCTATATTCCCTTACAAGCTGCGCTCCGTAATGAGTTCACTACTTCTTACCAGCAGTCGTGGTCCGATGAACATCAAAGCCCGCCTGCACACATGCAAGAATGCGCGCCCTCTCGCTAATCAGCAGCCGCGCGCGAACCGCTCGCGCAGCCAGCCCGGTAGGAATAGATGGCGCCCTGAGTAGTGTTCAAGGCACGGCGCGGGCAATTACGTTTGACGGCGCCTATATATTTTTGTGAAACCTTCTTACTTAAGTTTCGCTTTGCAGTAACAAGCGATCAAGACGAAAATATATGGCTTGAATTTTCGAAGAAAACTTTTACAATTGCTTTCATCAGCCCGTGCTTTGTTCGATGTTTTTTTTTGGCCAAAAACAAAACTTCTCACACCTGAATGCGCCATTGGACCGATAGTAATGATAATCTTCCTACTGTGCCCAAGCAATTGTGCAGAGGCTTTGCGTCCAATAAACATGAGTCGGGATGCAGCGGAAAGCAAGCGCTGTGTCCGGCTTATGTATTGCATTGTGATCTCATAATTGCAACAAATTTTGATGCGTCACTATTGTTATCAGTTTCCTGTAGTTTTCCCATTATGATCTAGTTTTACGAGTCTTCAAGCGGATTTGGACAAGAATTTCATCTTTCATATGCAGGATTTATTCTCATGATATTCTTTGTAGCAGTAGATGATAATGTCAGAGAAATCTGTTTACAGAAAGGAGAGAGCTAAAGACAGAGGGGATACGTCCTTCAGTAACATGTCCACTCCAACCTCTGAAATTGCGAAAGTACCAGAGCTTAAGCCTCAGATCAAAATCGGTCACTATATCCTCAAAGACACACTTGGAGTTGGTACATTTGGAAAGGTGAAAGGTATGTCCCAAGTCTATTTTAAAGATGTTTTGTGAGCGCTTGCCGTTTTCAAATGATTGTTCGTTTTCTTCCGATCTACTGACAAGGGAAGGAAGTTCGGTCGAAGTGGTCTGCTATGATTTGTATACGATGCAGGAGGGCGTAAAATGCTGATTTCAAATCTATCCTCCTTATCTGCGGCGCTTTCCTGGACGAGGGGTTATGAGCGTTTGAAGGAGCAAAAAATGAAAGTTTTTCAGGGATAAAAACAGTTGCAAAAATTTTCCCAGCGCTTGAATGAGACGGCCGGAGTGCGGATATATCTCATCTAAGGGTATTTATTTTATAAAGTGCTGGAAAGATTATTAGTGGTCCATTTAAACGCTAGGAAAAATGTTTCTACTGTTTTTATATTATTCGCACATTCAATTTTTTTCTCCAATAAACGCTCATAACTTCTCGTGCAGGAACGCGCCGCAGATAAGAAAGACAGATCTGCAGTCAGCGGTTTATGTGCTCCAAAATAGTATACAATTTATTTCAGAAGGCCACTTCGACCAACCATCCTTCCCTTGTGAGAGCTTTCTTCTTAAAGAGCCTAGAGTTGTATATCTCTACTGTTATGCTCACCTTTGCAAACATGGACTCCAAAAATTTCATTGTCTCTTATCTTTCTTGTGTTTATTATACCAAATGTAAGCTACTGTTTTTTTTTCAGTGGGGATTCATGAAGCTACTGGTTATAAAGTTGCCGTAAAAATCTTGAATCGTCAAAAAATCAAGACATTGGATGTGGTGGGAAAAATAAGAAGAGAGATACAAAATCTGTCGTTGTTCCGACATCCGCACATAATTCGGCTGTGAGTCCGCCTCTGACGTTTCACCCAGTTTCGACCATATCATGTTTTTCGAAAGGAGTAAAGAAGAGCATGCTTAGTTTTCAGCTACCAGGTGATAAGCACTCCAACTGATATCTTTATGATTATGGAGTATGTGTCTGGCGGTGAACTTTTTGATTACATTGTCAAGCATGGTCGCGTAAGTTTTTCATGAATTCATAAGTTGTTGATTTGCGGTTACGGTCTGAGATACGGCTCTGTGCTGATGATTCATAACCGCGACAATTTTACAGCTCAAGACTCCTGAAGCACGCCGTTTTTTCCAACAGATAATTTCTGGTGTGGATTACTGTCACAGACATATGGTTGTACACAGGGATCTGAAACCGGAAAATCTTTTGCTAGATGAGCATAACAACGTAAAAATAGCCGATTTTGGTAAGCTCATCACTGTCAGCATTTGTTCTCTTTATTTGCCAACTTGAGGCTTGTCGAACATCATGACTGATGGCGATTTTCTGAGAACCAGCTGCGGGTCGCCAAATTATGCAGCACCAGAGGTTATCAGCGGCAAGTACGTTTTTCTTCTATCTAATTCAATGTTTCTGCTACGTTCTTTCATGGTCTGGTGTACACGTGAAGGTAGGTGCCAGACTTGTTCGGTTCAACCAGTTCGTCCGGTTCATCCGGCCCACTATCGGTCCATTCAGTGATTTGACCAACAGCGAATAGGTGGACCGGATGGACAGTTGTACGGAAAAGTCTGGCATCTGCCGAAGTGAAGTCAATTTGTGGTTAGAATAGTATGTTAATCCTTGTGTTCCAGTTCCTCCTCGCAGCTTTATACTGAATTATGATTTATCATTTCATTTTGCACGCTCATCTCATTAGCTCATAATCTGAGAAAAAATACGCTGTGCTATCGCTATGAGTTACAGAGAATTTATAGGCTCTACGCTGGTCCTGAAGTCGATGTTTGGTCTTGTGGAGTAATACTATACGCACTTTTATGCGGTACATTGCCGTTCGATGATGAACACGTCCCAACACTGTTCAGGAAGATTAAATGTGCGTTCATTCCTACAAGTGGTCAGGGATCGAAGTGGCCAATCAAAACAAACTGCATACTATTAGATGCAGTATGTAACGGTGACTCTAAATCAGTCTTTCTTATCTGCTGAGCACTTTTCTGGATGAAGTTATAAGCCATTAAAGGTCATCATCTTGCTAAGAAATCGTGTGTGTAAGGGTCCAATTTGGCCCTGCAGACCCATGTTCGCCTTAATGCTGGACCAAAACATGCAGCTAGGTTACTTCATGTGGCCCATACCTAAAGTTGAGCTAAAAGAGCGATAATATGCTTAGTTTCGCGATTTTTTCGAGAGAATCTGCTCACAACTTTGCTTATAAAGGCGTTCAGCAGATACGGAAGACAAATTTGAAGGCAGCGACTATGGGAACATTCAGACCGAGCCGGTACCCGTCCAAACCCTCCCGAATACGTCCGAATACGTTCGATCCGCCCAAACCCGTCTGATCGCCGGAATTGCCAAAGCGCAGCAGATATGCGTGCAAATTGGCATATTGGAGCACGCGTTACCGCGCGTGGTGCACATATCTTAGTCACATGTAATTCGACGCATATTTGCTGCGCTTTGGCAGTTCCGGCGTTCAGACGGATTCATACGTATTCGGACGGGTTTGGGCGGGTACAGGCGCGGTCTGAACGATCCAGATGCATCGAATGGTATGCCGCTTGTTTGGAATCACTTCGACCTTTGACCATTTCGTTGTTAGCCACCTTAGTGTTATAGCATTTTTTTTTTTGAGTAGAAAAATGTCACTGACTATGCTATAAAGTCAAGTCAAACATTTGCATCTTTCTTTAATGATTTACTAGTTGTGACTGAGTGGGTGAATATCGCTACGGTCTGCATCTTTATCTTCATCTAAACTCGAAAGAAGCCAAAATATCTCACTTTGTAGCGCAGAAGGCGATTTTTGGAGTTTTTTCCTTTTTCCCGTGTAAAAATGGTTTGTATACACGATTCGTTGCACGCAAAGACTGGACGCCGTTGCGTCCGGCCAAGATAGTTCGCGCATAGGAGAGACAGTAGGTGGCAAAAGAAACGAAAGAGCGCTAGATCATAGAGACGCAGATACGTCTGCAGTCTTTGCGTGCTATGAATCGCCTATATATTAGCTTATTAGTATTTGGTGAGTGCAGTTTCGAACAAGAGATTTTATTTATCAATTACTGCTGCACACTGCTCACAATGCTTGTATGCATCCCGCGCTGTCCGCAAAATGGTTTGAATTGAAGTCTACAGATTGCTTTGAAGTAGAAGAAGTACAAAAACACGTTTACTCTAACGGCAGGGTAATAATTTTCTGCTTCATCTATGAAAACCTTTAGCCTCATAAAAGTTAGAAACCATTTTCTGATATGATCTCGGAATGGCTGACGATAGTCTCGCACTAAAGTGCTTTTAGTTGCTCAGATAACTCGTGTATAGTTAGTTCTCTGCGTATTTCACGGTCGTGGGATAGTGAGAGGTAAGATGTTCGCGGTGTTTCTTCATGCTTGCTTGGGAAATACCGTTTTTAGGCAACAAGGGTGACGTGCTTGGGAAAATGCTTCGAGACACGTTCGCGAACGCGTCAAAGTGCCCCTAAGCGAGGCGGCTCGCCAGTCGAGCCTCGCGACCTTGACACTCGATTGAAAGCCTTTGTATGGCCGTAGAGTTTTGTTCCGAAGAAAATCGCAAAGCGCGAAAAGGACTGTTAATTAGTCATACTTTTTGGAAATGGAGAGTGGCATGGAGAACGCTGATATATTGAGCTAATCTTTCAGTGACGAGGAAGTTCCCCTCCTACATCACTCACTTCATCTGCTTTCCATCAGTCACTGCAAAATTGTACAGTCTTCTTGCACATGCCCCTTCTTGTTCCAATCGATTACTGAACAGTTTTTCTGGATAGCAAACACGGTTTTAGTTCATTTGTTTTCAGCTGGAGTTTTCCCCATACCGGACTACTTAGACAAACCGCTTGTGAACTTACTTCTACATATGCTAATGGTCGATCCCATGAAAAGAGCAACAATCAAAGATGTTATGTGGGTTATCTTTCAGTTCCATAGCCGTACTCGTTGATATTGGCATCGTGTCATACTGATTCTCCAACCTAATTGTGACAATCAATGTCAATCTTTTTTTTTTTTTTTTGAAAACTTCAGATGTCGCTGCACAGGGCACTTTCCTTTCTCACAAGAAAATGATTTTAGTGCTCACGAGTGGTTTCAAAAGGACCTACCCGCATATCTCTTCCCACCAGTAAACGAGTCAGAAGCTTCGATTGTCGATATCGAAGCTGTTCGTGAGGTCACTGAAGTGAGTTATCGTTTCTGCGCAAATATAGGTGCGATAGTATGACGGGTCCTGCCAGTGAAGGGGGTCTTGCGTGTTTTTGACCATCGTGAAAGATGTCCAGAAAGTGCCCGCTCGACTGGGGGGGGGGGGAGGGGGGGGGAGAGACAATTATAAAAATTGCAGATCGAGAGCGGGTGAGAGGCGATCGTAAATCTTTGATATATTCTAGGAAACGTTGAACCCTCCGATTCAACAGATTAGCGGCTAGAAGGCGAGCCGCTTGGGCTCCGCACCTCTTTCCTGGTGTGCTCTCTAATTACTTCCCCATCACGAGCGTGGGAAAGGCGGAGCTTGAATCATTAGAGAGCACGATCGCGAAAAAGGTGCAGAGCCAGCGAGGCGGCCGCGAGGACGTGAGCCCCACCCACCAGCCGCCAATCCTGTTGAATCAGAGGATAGCACGTGTTTCAAACTAAAAACTGCAGTTTTTTTTTGCCACCAACCAATCTTACTCGGGTAGCATCTTACTATTACAGCAAAGGCAGTGTCCGTACAAGTAGTCGATTTTGGGATTTTGCGCTTACCTGGGTCTATCCGCTTTGCTAAATCTGAAAATCCACACTGGAGAACGCGAGAAAGGCCAAAAGGAGCTCCAACGTAGGAGGGAAATCTGCAGATGGGCAGGGTTTTCTACTTTGTGGAGTCACACTCCCTGCTTCAGGAGCGATCTCCCCGCTTCCGCTAGCCATCCTTACATCACCATCGGCCACGTGCGAAAGAGTGACATTGAAATCGGAACCGGGAAGATCGCTCCTGAAGCTGGGCGAGTGACTCCACAGATGGAGCCCCCCCCCCCCATCTGCTGATTTCCCTTCTCCGTTAGAGGCCTTTTTCGCCGTTTTCGCGCCCTGTAGTGTGGATTTTCGGATCAGCAGAGCGAATAGGCCGAGGTAAGCAGAAATTCGTAATGATGACTTTTTGCTTGGACACTGCCTTCAAAGGCACCATCTACCCAAAGTGGGGGTTGATAAGGTTATAATGGCATACTAGTGTGGGCCCCCACACTAGGCAAACCCCAAGCTGCGCCGCAAACGATTGCTTCCGGAGCGAGAAATCCGCTCCGTAAGGGACGTATCCGTAGCTGGTCACTCCACCCAGATGGTCACCCCGCCGACTTCTCAGGCTTTCCCTCGCTCGCGCTTGTTGCGGCGAGTTCTCGACGGGGATTTCTGGAGGTTTTGCGGTTTCTCGACTCCATATTCGAAATCAGGGCCTTCAGGAGGCCTGAAAGCGACAAAAACATGGAAATCGAGAGTTTGGTTAGACGGTGCCTTTGAAGGCAGTGTTTGGGCAGAAACGCGATTTTGAGATTTTGTACTTATGCGGCCCTATTCGCCATGCTGAATCCGAAACTCTACACTGGAAAGCGCAAGAACGGCAAAAAAGGGCTCTAACGCAGGAGGAAAAAGGAAGTGGGCGGAGTCCTCTCCACTGTGAATTCACGCTCCCAGCTTGCGGAGCGGTCTTCTCGATTCCGCTAGCCGTCCTAACATCGTTACCGGCCAAGTGCGAATGATTGATTGAAACAGGAAGCGAGAAGACGGTTCGGAAGCTGGGAGTTTAAATTCACAGTGGAAGGACCCCACCCATCTGCTGATTTCCCTCCTGTGTTAGAGCCGTTTTTCGCCGTTTTCGCGCTCTCCAATGTGCATTTTCGGATTTAGTGTAGCGAATAGGCTCAGGTAAGCACAAAATTTCAAAATCGACTTTTTGCTCTCACCAAAGTTGAGGTCGCGTGGATCTTCACATCCTTCTATATAAAGCTGAATGTCTGTTTGTCTGTCTGTCTGTCTGTATGTGTTGTGTATGCCATGGCGTGTGTAGGAAGACGATTGGAGACCGAGTTCTTTACTTGACGACAAGAAACTAAGAATGAACTATACTTACTAAAGAATGCTTATATATAGTACACACAACTATATCACATATCATAAACAACAGACCAACATATTTGTTCATTCTTCTCAAACGCTGGCTTCTTGTGCGGTTGCACAACACCTCCCCTTCTAAGTGAAAAGGTGGGTCTTTCCCGCGCTGAGGACTGAGTTGATATTTAATCTTCTTACGTCGCACACTATGTTTCTCGTCAGCCGAGTACAGTGGACCTGGAGCGATGTGAACTTCATATTTAGTGAACATCTCACCATGAGAGAAGTCATCCAAAGTTGGACCTGATATATCGCGACAGTGGATCGGGAACTTTTGCATTGCGGCTGACGTCTCCTCCCTTTTCGGCTTGAATATCAGGCACTGGAAGTTGTCGACGATTCTTTCGGGCTCTTCATTGAACTGCTGATGACGAGTATGTCGAACTTGTCGGGTTTTTCCAGAATCGCGAAATTCGGCTCTCCTGAATTGAGTAATATCATAAAAAACAGGTACCTCCACATTTCCATATTGAGTGGACTTTGAAAGAGTTTTGCCGAATATTTTGCTTTCATCCTCTTTTTCGAGCGCAAAGGCAGCCGTTGCTTTCGTGCCGTCTTCTGTTTTGGGTCGAAACACTTCTGCGAACTGTGTTGTCAGGTGAGTTTGCTTCTTGTCGAGTGTATCGTTCGTAGCGGTCACTGCATTCAAATTCTGACAGCCGATATCAATGTGAAAGGCACAGTCGCTCTGGTTCCAATGCACTTCAAGTAGAGCTGGTCCATCAAGTAAATTTGTGGTACCATTCAAGGCGATGCCATTTAGCGCATGCTCACATGTGCCGTGTCCATGGCATGTAATGCTGGTCCCATTAGCAGCAGTCGAATTATGTTCTGGGTTCTTTAGTTTGTGTCGGCCAGTCTTGATCCATGTGTCGCGATCTTTAACTCCACAGTCAAGTCGTAACTCGATACTTGTGTTGTTGGTTTTCACATTGCAGTACGACTTCGTTTCTTTAGGCGGTGGGGTGACGACAGGATGGACGTCCTTGGCTTCATCGACAAATAGTTTACGTAGACAGTACCTCTCTAGATGTCCACGCTTCTTGCAGTAATTACATTCAGTGATCGGCTTCTCGCACTTCCTGGTCCTATGGGTCTTCGCTCCGCAGTTCATACAAAGGTGTGTTCTGGGCTTGTGACCAATGAATGGCTTCCGCTTCTCGTCTCGCTGCATCGCGTTGACTTGCGGGTTCTCATTCATCTGATTCACGCTGACCTGAGGTACCTTGGCTTTGTCGATCATCTGTATATGATTCTGCAGTTCCAAGTAGTCTTTGTACTCTTCGTTGGGTTCTTGCTTCGTCAGTTCAGCCATGGGTTCTCGACAAGACTTCCACAGTTCCATGATTTGCTTCATTAGAATGTGGATCGTGTCCGTGTTCGGGCTCGGGTTCTGGTTCTGATCGAATTCTGGTAGACGAGTATCGATTGCATTCATCACGTAATCCTCGCTGGATCCTTGTTTCTTCTTTACTTCTTTCCGCAGCTCCATGATTTGCAGCATAAGAAGGTGTGTTGGGTCCATGTTGGGGGTCGGGTTCGGGCTCGGGTTCGGGTTCTGATCGCCAGTTGTTGTGTATGCCATGTCGTGTGTAGGAAGACGATTGGAGACCGAGTTCTTTACTTGACGACAAGAAACTAAGAATGAACTATACTTACTAAAGAATGCCTATATATAGTACACACAACTATATCACATATCATAAACAACAGATCAACATATTTGTTCATTCTTCTCAAACGCTGGCTTCTTGTGCGGTTGCACAACAGTATGTCTGTATGTCTGTATGTGTGTACGTATGTTCCGAATAGAAAATTCCATTTCTGAACCGATCGGGACCAAACTTGGCACACATACACTTCGGGCTCGGCGGGTGTCATAGGCTACTTTTCATCATCGATCGATATCGATTTTATCGATTTTTTTTGCAAAATTTGAGCTACGGGGCTGGGAGTTGGCACACAAGGGGGTAATCGAGCATGCTGATCACCCACGTGGGGGTGATCAGCATGCTCGATTACACCCCTCTGCCAAATTCCAGCCCCCTAGCTCAAATTTTGCAAAAAATCGATAAAATCGATAAAAGTAATGCACGGTTTCGAAAACTAATATTGTATTCGTAATCAGCATGCTCGATTACACCCCCCTGCCAAATTCCAGCCCCCTAGCTCAAATTTTGCAAAAAATCGATAACATCGACATCGATTGATAACGAAGAGTGGACTGTGACACCCGCCGGGGCCCGAAGTGTATGTGTGCCAAGTTTGGTCCGGATCGGTATTCGGAACATACGGCGGAGCCGGGTAAGCCAGCTAGTATTCTATTATAGGGACCTCTAAATAGGCCATTGCAACAAGTCCCAATCAATTTAATCCCCTCCACGCTGAAAAAAATTCGCTCGAAGTGGTACGCGGAGATCCTTTGGTCTCCCCCCTTACGCGTTTGAACATGTCTCTCCACTTGCCATCCACCTCCCCTCTGTTGCTGCCACTGTGGTTGAGGCTGAAGTTGGAAGGCACAACTCGTCCACGTTGCTTCCTCGGGGCCTCCAAAAAACGGGGTTTTTGGGGACTTCGTGCGATTTTAAGCCCATACAGTGCTAGAAAGGGTCCGACAGGCTTGCAAAATGCAAAAATCTCGACAACTAAGTTTTGGTGAGACACTGCCTTTAAAAGCAGTGTCCGGGCAGAAACTCGATTTTGAGATTTTGTGCTTACCCGGGCCTATTCGCTATGCTGAATCCGAAAATCCACATTTTAGAGCGCGAAAACGACGAAAAAGAGCTCCAAAACTGGAGGGAAATCAACAAGTGGGCGGGGTCTTCTCCAGGGTGAATTCACGCTCCCAGCTTCGGGGTCGATCTTTTTGATTCCGGTTTCAGGTCATTCGTTTGCACTTGATCGGTAGTGATGCCAGGGCGGCTAACGGATTCGAGAAAATTGCTCTGGAAGCTGGAAGCGCGAATTCACAGTGGGGAAGACCCCGCCCACTTGCTGATTTCCCTCCAGTGTTAGAGCCCTTTTTCGTCGTTTTCGCGCTCTCCAATGTGCATTTTCGGATTCAGCATAGCGAATAGGCCCGGGTAAGCGCAAAATCTTAAAATCGAGTTTTTGCCCGGACACTGCCTTTAAGGTGGCGGATTGGAATGAACACTATATCATAAGGTGCATTTTGATGAGCCGATTCCAGACCTACCTTCTATATCTGCGATGCGATTTTCTGGAAAAAGTAATGATCGTTGGGGTTTTGATGCATAACATGCTTTGGAATCCACCTTGGGAGTGCATGAACGCATGATACTGAGTGTATGACAAAGGATGCTCACATCTACCGAAAACACAAAAGTATTTTTGGACAGTTAATTTTTTATTTATTTTAGGGTGTGCTGCTGAATGTTCGCCAACTTTGGACTTTTGGGCGCTCGTATTTTCCAGTGAATCGCATCGCAGATAATTAGAACAGATTAGGAAACAGCTCATTAAGATGCATTCAACGATGTGCGGAGCGATCTAGTTCGACTCCTCAAAGGCACCGTCCACCCAAAATGTGGTCGATGAGATTTCAACGCCTAACAGTAGTGTGGCCCCCAGCTGTATACTTGCCCAACTCGCGCTGCCAGAAGTTGTTTCCGAAACGAGAAAATTGCTTCAAAATTCGCTTTGGATGACGGATTCGCCACGTCGGCTCCTCCTCTTTGGGTGGGCGTGACGTTCGTCCGCCCATTTGAGCGCACCTAATCAATCACCGTTTCGACAACTCGCTCTGCGAGTTATCGGAGACAGGGTTTGTTGGGGTTTTCGCGGATTCTCGACTTGATATTCGGGATCAGAGACATGAGGAGGCCCCGCAACGACAAGAACATGGAAGCCGAGAATCTGGGTGGACGGTACCTTCAAGTTGGGATCGTCACCTTGTTAAAACACCTGAAATCCAACCACTGCAAAATCATTTGCAGGATAACTCGTGTATAAAAGAAGATCAATATGAACTCATATGGAGGATTTTTTTTTCAAGAGCTACAGTGATATGTAGATTAGTATATTTGGGGTCTGATGTCAATGCGAGCCGATGCAGTTGTTAGGGTGTTCAACTATTTCCATCCCCCGAGTTACTCAATAATATATAATGTGTGGAAGTTCGATGTTTTTTGTCCCTGCGAATGTGGATGAGATGGTTCAGTTGAGCAATCTTACCCCTACTTCCTTTCCAACCCGTCAAGGTTGGCGGGACTAGGATTGCTTAACTGAATCGTCTCAGCCTCACAGGAAAATCGAAATACTTCAAAGAATGGTTATTTGATTACCTAGTACAGTTCGTTTTTCGACTGCGTTGCCCTCATCTTTCTCTGTACGACGGCTGCTGAAGAACCATCAATCTTTACAAATCTGGTTTTCAAAACATTGCGTATTTCCATTTTATGCACACTTTTCGCTCACCTTTGAAACTTTTTTCACCGTTTGAACTGAAGAAAGAGATGGGGAGGGGTGGGGGAGGAGTCTTCCAGGTTCCAAAGTGAGAACAGGTAAGATTTTGCTCAGACTATCGCATCTGTGGTCGCAAATTCATACTTCAAAGTTTCGAACTTTCAGCGCTACAACGTACCTGAAGAGGAAGTGACTGCTGCTCTCCTCGGGGATGATCCGCATCATCACCTTTCCATAGCCTACAACCTCATAGTTGACAATAAACGTATTGCCGATGAAAGTAAGAAGTTCATCTTCCATCTACTAATAAGAGCGGTTATCACTGTGGCGTTTTTCATCGCCAAAAAAGTGTCTAGATTGAACCTACACGGAACGCATTTTTGTGGAAGTAGCTTTTGGCTGAGGTTTCGCACTATTTTGTAGAGAATCAAAAACTGATTCCAAACATCCTTGACGCCTGCTGCACGTCTCTGGACGCCGAGTTATGGGTGTTTGGGTCGAAAAATGAGCGCATGATCTGTATTCGGTCGTTATGGTCCATCCGGCGCTCAAATATAGTTGTTGCTAGTGTGAGTATACTAGTTGAAAAGTACTCACTGCATAAGGTGCCTTAATACTGAACACTGGCCCATCTGAGCGGTTTTGAACGATTTTGCTCTAGTTACATGTTCATTTTTTTTTCGGCATAAAAACGTTCACAATTAGGATCAAGCGTGGGGTGTGGACCACACCGGGGGTCGTATTGACGAGTCAAAAGGGGGGGGGGGGTCGTAGTTGGGTAAAATCTGCAACCCATTGTTTGCACCCATCTTGAGTTCGTCTATTTTTCAAAATTTCCATTTTGGACTTTTAATCTGATAATAGTGATATTCGTAGGGCCTCGGGCAGAGTTCAAGCGATTTGATCGTCGCGATTCGATTCGATCGCGACAAGACAACTGTTACGAGTTCATTGCATGCCGATTCGCTTGCGTTTCGGTTGTGATGCTTTTCCAGCTCGAATTCAAATTTAAAATGAGAATGAATGAAAATCGCGGCGATGAAATCGCTTGAACTCTGTCCGAGGCCTAAGCGGTTTGTCAGGCGACCCACCATGCGAAATAAAAAAAAAGAGATATTGACTACCTTAGCATGATAAAGAGGTGCCACGAAGCTTAACGAGTACTATAAGCATGATTAGCATGTGAATTTACTCCTGTAAACAAACTTTGAGCAAGTTCTGAAGTTTTAAGATACTAGGCTAAGTGAAATCGTCATTTTCCAACATGATTAATTTTGTTCTAAAGGTGAACTATCTACCTGTTTTTACACTCAAGGCAAAGTACTACTCCTTCTTTGTCCACCTCAGAAATTCAGCTTAAAGGCAGTGGATCGGCAGAATGGACCCTTCTCGGATTTTGGTGAATTTAGGATCCCAAACCCCACCTGCCACATGCGTTAAGTCCTCAAAAATGCGCTTCAAAACTCCACCAGCCCCCACTCAGTGCAAATGGGCGGGGCTGTGGAGTTTTGAAGCGCATTTTTAGGACTTAACACATGAACCGGCAGGTGGGGTTTTGGATACAGTGTACTTGAAGGGTCTACTACATAAATTCACCAAAACCCGAGAAGGGTCCATTCTGCCGACCCACTGCCTTCAAAAAGACCTCCAAAATGTGGAATTAGAAGCCAACCAAAATCTCGTTTTTCCCATTTTTCGCTTCTGATGGCCGTGCTTTCACCAAATATTATTCAGAGCTGAGAAGACGAATCAGGACCAAATCACTTCTATAAAATTTACGAGGTTTAGGCTATATTCATATAATTACTGTTTGCTAAAAAGGTTTTTTTTGTTGAAATAGTTAATGGTGTGGCAGCCACACCCTTTTAGGGTTTGTGCCACACCCCATTAGCTATATCAAAAAAAAAACATTTTAGCGGACAGTATTTATATGAGTCGATAGCCTACACCTCGTAAATTTCCGTATTTTATGGAACAGCAGGGATCTCCTAATTTTCACAGGAGAAATTGAGCCTGATTCGTTTTCTTTGCTCTGAGTAATATTTGGTGAAAGCACGGCCATTAAAAGCGAAAAATGGGAAAAACGAGATTTTGGTTGGCTTCTAATTCCACAGTTTGGAGGTTTTTTGAAGCGGAATTTCTGAGGTGGACAAAGAAGGAGTGTAGATAGTTCACCTTTAGAACAAAATTAATCATGTTGGAAAATGACGATTTCACTTAGGTGGCCTAGTATTTTGAAACTTCAGAATTCGCTCAAAGTTTGTCTACAGAGGTTAATTCACATGCTGATTATGGATATGTTGCCCGTTATGTTTGACAGGGCCTTCAAGTAATGCTATCTTAGGTATATACTTCAGAGGGGGGGGGTCGTAACCAGCGATCGTGTGCCACACCTCTTGCTTAAAGGCAGTGGCTCGCGAAAATTGCGACTGCGGGCTTTTCATGACTACATGGCCTTCTGGACCAGCTGAGTCCGGTACTGCGCTTGAAAAGTCAAACAAGGGCTTTTTTGGCGTTTTCGGGCCTTGGAGATTGCTGGGGAGGCGGGGCGAGGGATTCAACCCAAAATGAGCAACCGGCTGCAGGAGACTAACTCCGCCTAATTTGGAGGCAAACTGTATCGCGATGGCTGCCTAGTCTGATCAGCCGTTTGCCGCCAAAATAGGTGGAGTTACAGTCTCCAGCAGCCAGTTGCTCCTTTTGGGATGAATCCCTCGCCCCTCCCCTCCAGCAGTCTTCAAAGCCCGGAAACCCTTTTTGACCTTTCAAGCGCAGTATCGGACTCAGCTGGTCCAGAAGGCCATGTAGTCGTGAAAAGCCGGCAGTTGCAATTTCCCCGAGCCACTGTCTTTAACCCTGTTCACAACTCGGCGAAAGGGGGCGCACAACAGATACAGAAGACAGCTTTGGAGTCAGCGTTTATTGCTCTTTGATATAAAGATTTCATCTGGAAAAGCCACTGAGAGTGCTTTCCTTGTTAGTAAGATTGTTAATGTTGCTACTAGCTCTATCACATATATATGTAAACATCAGTGGCGTATCGAGAGAGCGGGGGGGGGGGGGGCACCACGAGAAGGTCGCGAAATTTGTTACTTTATGAAAAATGAAAGTGTGCAAATAACTTGTTCTTATTTGTAAACAGTTGAAATTATTCTTTAAAATTCTAAATGTCCAAGTTAGCCCTGTAAAGAGTTTTTTTTGGGGGCGGGGCGTGGCGGTCCCTTTCCCTAAAATCGGGGTTTCAAGGTTGTGGGGTGCAAAAAATTTGCGGTGAATAACAAAAAATTTTTGGAAGCGTGGCTAATGCCATGCACTTTCATCCAAGAATATTTTTGTACCCCCCCCCCCCGCGCCTCCCCGGACGGATCTAGTTACATCAGTGATATACAGGGCAGTGGCGTACGATTTCCGCTCGGGGGGGGGGGGGGGGCGACAAAGATTTTTCTCGAATGAAGGTGTGTGGCGTCAGCCACGCACTCCGAAAAAGTTTTAGGAGTGCTTCTCAAAATTTTTGCGGGTCCCCAAGCCCTAATATCTGGAAAAAGGGGGCGTGGCATCAGCCACGCCCCCGAAAAAATTTTTTTTACAAGGCTAATTTGAATTTTTAAAAATTTTTAAAAATTATTTTAATTGCTTACAAAAATAAACAAGTCACTTGCACATATATTCCATATGAGTAACTTTCAAAAATTTCGCGACCCATTCTCGGGGGGGGGGGGAGGAAGGGGGGTGCCCCTCCCTCGGTACGCCACTGATACAGGGTGTTCCAAAAGTAAGTACACACTTTTCAATCGTCAATATCTCTCTTCCTAAAGGGTCTTTTTTTGCTAGTCAAGTACCATCCTGTAGAGGAGGCTTCAGCTTAGATTTACAGTATGGAGCGAATCACCGATCGCTCTTTGTTACTGTAGGATTACGGTATGAACTTCCAGCATGTGGGACCATTGTGAAATACGCCATCTGACAATTTTTTTCAAAAAACCTGAAAAATTGTATTAGGGATTTCGCGCACGCTGATTCCACCACACAACTTTTTATGAGTATTTTCAGCCTTTTTGACGGTGTAATCACATTTCTGACAAGTACTGAGAATTCGGTTATTACGCTATACCTGGGATAACTTTGGAAAGAAGTATCACAGTAAAGTTGATATTTCATATTCGAAATCAGCGACGTCCATTACTACAGTATAAAAGTTGTTGGCTTTTTGGTTTTGTTCCGAGGCAGGATATGGCTTCCAGTGGCCTAAAATCCTTGTCGAAGTTCCTACAGTAATCCTACAAAATGAAGGGCGAACGGTATTCGCTCGGTACTATAAATCTAAGTTGAAGCCTCCTCTACAGAATGGTACCTAAATGGCGGAAAAAGACACAGTGGGAAGAGAGATATTAACAATTGAAAAGTGTACTTACTTTTGGGACACCCTATATATATATATATTTATATTTATATTTATATTTATATTTATATTTATATTTATATTTATATTTATACACATAGACATATATATATATGCACATTTACAACACTTTTTTAGCTGCAAAGTTGACAATCGAAGAGTTCTATCAGGTTGCACCCAACAAATTACATTATTCTGACCAACATCGACATCCCGAAAGAATTGCTGGTAGGTTCATGTTTTGCAAGTGTAAACTCATTACATTCCTCTATATTAAATCAGCATAAGCAAATTCATTCTCCCTTTTCTCTTATTCGCTTTTATCCGCCTTGCGTTTCTGATTACTGCAACCCAGTATAGGCGTGTGATATTGCTAAGTGTTCGCGCAACTTACGTGAACCCTGATAGGAGTGTTCACGTATCGTATAGACGTTCGTCTCCTTTCTTTTAATGTGATTATGTTGAACAAAAGCGTACTGTCGTATAAGCCCCTTTTTCCAGCTCCTTGCATAATTCTTTGCTGATCCCTGTCGTCTTTTATCTAGAGTCAATGTTTTTATGAAATCAATGAAAGTAAAATTCTATGAAATCAATGAAAATAAAACGTTGTGTTGAGTATCTAATTCAGCGCTGAGCATGTTTTTAATGAATATGACCTGTTGAAGTACTGATAAACCCCAATTTCACTTGTATGAAATACCAGTTACTTTGATGTATCATTCTTTCTGTTAATAGAAATGCTTAGAAGGGGCGAATTAGATAACTAACACGGCTTTCGTGATATGTTCACTAACAGGTGAAGAGAATGACTTCGAGGAATCATGGCCAACCTCCAGGCATCACGGGGAATTACAGTCGAATCATTTCGTATGATCATGTGTGTCATTGCACACACAGTCCACCTTGGCGTTTTCATCCTGTATTTGCAATCGTAGAAACGCAAGAGACTTACTTGTTATCGATTACATCAATTTGAGGTGATTAGTAATTAAAAAGGAAAGAAAATGCCAAGAACATCTTGAAAACACTCATCTGAATGGTTGTTTCTCCCACTAATCCAGGATGGGAACGCCAAAGCTGGACTGTGTGTGCAATTACACACATGATCATTTGAAATGATTCGACTGAGGAGAACAGTGAAACGCGACTTATGTTACGATACGTTTTTGTTGTGCGTAGTTTTTTTGTTGTGCGTAGTTGAAGACAGTAAATACATTCGGCGCTATTCGGCTATCCGGGCCCCAAAATTTTTTAGTCATGGATTTGGCTGAAACTTAGCCCAGGGGGGAGGGGGGGGGGGGGTTATCTGGCATGCTGTTCACGAATATCACGTTTTTTTCCGCGTGAGGATGCCTTCCTGTGCGGTTACGGTGGGTAACGGCAAGGGGCCAAAATCACGGATTTCGCTGAAACTTGGCCTAGGGGGTAATTCGGCCCGCTGATGCCAAATATCACATTGGTTTTGAACAGTAGCGTCATTTTCTCGAGTTACGGTAGCTACACGGCAACGGGTGTAAAACATAGTCCTGCCTGAAACGCGTGTACAGCGATTCGGACAATCGTGAGTTATTGAAAACCCAACCACCGCCGCGCGCTACACACCCTGCTGCGGCTTTTGCCTAAGCAAAGCACAGGGGAAAGATACATTTGCCGTTTTGTAGTTTTGACCTCTACCGTAAACCTACCGTAACCATGCAGGGAGACGTTTTCGTGCGGAGAAAGTGTGACATTTCTAATCAGCATGTCGAATAACACCTCTGTGCGAATTTACAGCGGATTTTGAGATTTTGACCCCCTACCGTATACCCACCGTAACCCAAGAAAATGACGCTACGGTACGAAACCAATGTGATATTCAGCATCAGCGGGCCGAATAACCCACCTAGACCGATTTTGAGCAAAATCTACGATTTTAACCCCCACCGTATACCTACCGTAACCCGGCAGGGAGGCGTTTTCCTGCCGAGAAAATGTGATATTCGTGATCAGCATGTCAGTTAACCCCTCTGGGCCAAGTTCCAGCCAAATCCATGACTAAAAAATTTTGGGGCCCGGATAGCCGAATAGCGCCAAACATTCGATGGTTACACAGCATGAAATTCAAAATTCTGAAGCTCTACTCTATGATGCTTTCTTTTAAGTTGTGCCTTCCCCTCAAGGTGCTGGTGTTTCTTGTTGCGACCTGCATGTGTACTCAGCTTTTAAATGTTTACGGTCAACATTGGTTTGCTTGTAATCCATATTAGACTGAAGCATTGACTGCTATCAGAGGCAGTGTTTGGCAAGAAGTCGATATTGAGATTTTGTGCTTACCTGGACCTATTCGCTATGCTGAGTCCGAAAAACCACACTGGAGAACGCGAGAAAGGCGAAAAAGGGCTCTAACGGCGGGGTCTTTCTTCTGTGGAGTCACTCGCCCAGCTTCAGGAGCGATCTTCCCGGTTCCGATTTCAACTCAGACAATTGTTGCAGCGACCCGGTCGCCCAACTGGGCTTCGCTGTTGAGCCGCGGCACCTATATATCAGCCTTACATGCCTTACATGCATCAGGCCCAGCAGCGGCCCACAGGTGTGAGCTGGCGACCCGCGCATATAGTTGACTAGCTGGCAAACCCGGCTTCGCTTGGCCCTGCCAATATTATATTCGTAAACAGCATGCTCACTTACCCCCCTGTACCAACTCCCAGCCCTGCGGTTCGAACTTTTTGAAAAATCAACAAAATCGATATCGATCGATGACGAAAAGTAGCCTATGACACCCGCCCGGCAAGTGTATGTGTGCAAATTTGGTCCGGATCGGTTCAGAAATAAAATTTTTTATTAGGAACATACGTACACACAGACAGACAGACACAGATAAACAGACATACATACATACCAACAGACATCCAGCTTTATATGTAAGACCAGTCCAAAGCGCAGCTTCGCGGCGCTTTGGACTGGCTGTGTGTGTGAAGCGGGAAAGTGACTGAAAGTCAAAACTTTTGAAGATTCGTAGCCTGCGAAGACTCTCGTATGCTCTCAAACTTTCACACGTAAAGAAAACGTAACGTAAAAAAATTTTTGTGATTGAAACGCCCATCCCAAACCCGACAAAGTAATCCCAGTCACGTGCTCTTCCCACCCGGGGCCATGTTTCCCACATTAAGCGACTCTCCAAACTGCCTTAGAATCTCCACCGCTCTAATCAGACTACTTTTATCTCTTCCCGAAACTATTAGCAAGAAAATTCGAATTGATATTCTTGTAAATATGCAGCCAATATTGAAATTACCAAATCTAGAGTTTTCAAATTCGAACACTCCCTCTTTCTTTTCACAAAGTATCCTTTTTTAAACGCGTCATGCTTCCTCTTCCACTTCAAAAAATTGCACTATCAAAACTCTCGTTCGCTTTCTTTCAAGTTCCCAAACTGTCCAGCATTCTTGAAATTCATCCGTAGGCTCCAAAACCACTCAATTTTCAGGTTATCTTATTGAGCAAACTCAAATTCTTGAAGGGACCTACTTAAAGGTGTTTATGCTTCAAGCTGCTCACCTAAGCGGACCTCTCTTCCTTGAACAATTTTGAGGTTGTGCAGTATTTCAGCAAAGCTGCGCATAGGTTAGTAAAGCTTCAGTTTATGTAAAGTCAACTTGCATGCCACCTTGTCTCTCATTCGTAGCTGATATGAACGGCAGATTCATACAGCATTTAGTCCTATTAAAATCACTCACGATCGCATTGACATTATTCTACTTTACTCTTCTAATAATGTTTGAAGGAAATCTCGGGAATTTGGAAGTGGTTTCTTTTTCACTTTTTCCTAGCTGAAGAAGATTTTTGCATCCAGCTTTTATTGAGTTTCAAGACAATTCGCATGACCACGCTGCATTCGTTTAAAGATATTGTTTCGTACAATTGTTGGTAACTTTCGAAAAGGTTTACACAGTAATTAGATGTCAACTCGATGGAGTCAAAGATTTTCAAAGTTTATCAACTCCAACAAACTTCTTTGCATGTGAACTGAGAAGAAACTAAGGAATTGCCTTTGTTGTAAGCACTTGAAACGAAGTGCTCATTCAAAAAAAACCGTAGGCAGAGATGTCCAAAGTAAAGTTCGTGAGAAACCTCCAAAAACAGATTTAGTGCAGTTTGTCTAAGATAATAAGTAAGCGCTAAGCATTTCATGAAGAACTTCAACTTCCTTGCTGAGATATGTTAGCAGAAAAATGGACAGATTAATTGAAGATTTGGCGCAACTGTTTTACGGTGAGGAAACATACTAAGCACTCGAGAAATGAACTATGGAAGACTGCAGTATTTTGCTAAAATACCCAACTTTTTTGAAAATCTTATGCTGCACTCCAAATTAAACGCTCCATAGTAGAAATAGAAAAGCGAGATGCCAAAAAAAGAAGATAATGGTGGTGAGATAATGTGCAAACGATTTGACCAACCCTCGATGATTTTTGAAATAAAGCTATTACAGTCAGTGGGACAGCTTAGAGGCAGCGTCCCACCAGACTGGGGGTACCTGGCTCTCGTAATGATGTAATAGTAGACCCCCTACCTAGGCGATGACTGAAGTTCGGGGCGAAAAAGGGGGTCTACCAAGCCTGAAATCTGCTCCGAAAGTGGGCTGAATCTTATGGTAGGCTCGGGCGGGTGCGAGGTGCATGCAAGGTAGAGACGCAGAGTCATTGCGGGTCCCTGCGCTCATGATGTGTGCGCTATACGCACTCCGGCCCTGCAAATCGATATTGCCATGTGGGCGACGTTTGGCCCTACCGTAAGATTCGGCCCACTTTCGGAGCAAATTTCAGGCTTGGTAGACCCCCTTTTTCGCTCCGAACTTCAGTCATCGGTTAGTTAGGGAGTCTACTATCACATCATTACGAGAGCCAGATATCCCCAGTCTGGTGGGACACTGCCTTTAATCAGTCTAGCCGCTGACAGTTCCCGTGATGTTAATTTCGCTGCTTTTAGTGCCAACTCATAAACATCGCTGAAGAGCATAACCGAAAACATATGAAGACAGCACTGTATGATATGACGTCATCAGCGCGACTCATCTTGGCTGCCGGGCGCGTTCCCATTAGTGGTAGACAACGCCGGAATAAACATCCATGCTGACTCACATAGGAGGTGCTAGCGCTTTATACAGGGTGTCCCCAAAAAAATGTATCCACTGTTTGATTGTTTAAGGCAGCGTCCAGGCAAGTCTGGACCTATGGGGATTTTACGTG